CATATACCTAAAAGATGTACACTCATATAATAAGGACATCTGCTCAACTATGTTCACAGCAGCATTATTTGTAATCACCAGAACCTGGAAGCAACCCAGATAGATGCCTCTCAACTGAAGAATGGATAGAGAAAATGTGATACATTTACACAGTGGAGTATTACTCAGCAGAAAAAAAATGGAATCTTGAAATTTTCAGGCAAATGGATGGCACTAGAAGAAACCATCCTGAGTGAGGTTACCCAGTCACAAAAAGACAAACATGGTATGTACTCACTTATATATGGATTTTAAACATGGATCCCACCACCAGAGAGTCTGGGAAGCAGGGAGGACCCTAAGAGAGATATGCATGATAACCCAGAGAAGGGTTATGGGAGGAGATCTCCTAATTGGATCGGAAGCAGGGAGGAGGGGAGAGGAGAGGACATGGTAGAGCAGGAATAGAGGAGAGGAGAGAAGGATGAGAGATACCATAATAGAGGGAGGGGAGATCTGGCACTAGTGAGATTTTCACAAGAATGACACCAACTGACATTAAGTCTACCTTAAATGCCCTCCCCTGATAATGAGACTCTGGAACTGGAATTATATAGTGCCTTAGCATGGTGAGAAACATGGCAGCATGCAGGCAGACATAGTGCTGTAGGACCCGAGAGTTGTACATCTTGATTCACAGGCAGCAAAAGAGGACTGCAAACCACATGAGACCTCAAAGTCTGCTCCCACAGTGACACACTTCCTCCAACAAGGCCACACCTCCTAATAGGGCCACTTCCTATGGGTCAACAATTCAAACGCATGAGTGTATGGGGGGGGCATGCCCATTCAAACCACCACAGCCATTGAGATATCTTTCCATTTCCCAAGTTATTCTTTCTCTCCTCTAACTCCCTCCCTCCCACCCTCCTTCTGTCCTTCCTTCCCTCCCTTCCTCCCTACCTTTCTTTCTTTCTTTCTTTCCTTTCCTTCTTTCCTTTCCTTAGTGGTCATATATATTTAGACTCTAGGTGTTGTTTCCTAAAGACATAAAAATCCAGGACACAAGGTCTGAGGCGCTTTAGTTTTATAGTAGTTTCTCTATGGAAGTATGTTGTAGATTCTTTTGTAAGGCTCTCCACCACCATGACACAAGTGACTTACAAAACTGGAATTTGTTGTCTCAAAGTTGTAGGGGGCTGAATCTGAGGTCAGATGACAACAGGACTGCTCCTGGCTCTAAGCCTGGTGCTTCTCTCTCAGCTTCTGGCAGGCGGGGCACCTGATGACAAACCGTATCTTTTCTCTTTCCCTTTCTTGGGAGAACACCAGTCAGGATTAGGGAGGACCCTAATGATCTCATTTTTACTTGGTTACCACTATGAAAACCTCATATTCTCCAGATAAGGGCACATTTTCAGGCTGGGGCAGTTAAGATTCCACCTGTCTCTTCTCTCTCTCTCTCTCTCTCTCTCTCTCTCTCTCTCTCTCTCTCTCTCTCTCTCTCTCTCTCTCTCTCTCTCTCTCTCTCTTGGAAATGCAGGGTTGAATACACAACATACCCTGTCCTGGAGAATGCCAGCAGCTCTCAGACTATCTGCAATTCGGGCTGCAGGACTGGGTGATTTGAGCAAGCCAGGACACTGCCCAGTGACTGTCAAGAAAGAGTGGTATAGACAGGCTAGGCTTGGCAAGGCGAGCTGCAGACAAAGGGAGACTTGTACCCAGCGCAAAGATTGGGCTTCAGGATGCCCAGCTCTGCTCACACAGAAAGCACCACTGAAAATGCCAGCTTTCAGAAACAAGGAACAAACCTTTGCCCTAATCTTGTGAAATTAGATCTAATTATCGTTAGTTAAGGAATTAAACAACGTGGACATAGTTAAGTGAACTAAAATGTAGTCTAATTCTCTCCTCTTTGAAGGCTTTTGAAAAATGAAATATTTATATTTGATTCATCATGGGAAAACAGACATGAAGATACTCTAACCAGTTACAATCATGTACACCGTGCAATCTTTTAGTCTCCTGTCTCTTCATGAGATTAGCCCCTGTAAGGGATAAAATGTTATACTTACTTGTTTCTGTCCATGTAGGCAAGAAATAAATATACTTGTAGTTCTTTGATTTTGTTGTTGTTGTTTTTAGAGACAGGGTTTCTCTGTGCAACCCTGGATGTCCTGGAACTTACTCAGTAAACAAGGCTGGCCTCGAACTCACAAAGATCCACCTGTCTCTGTCTCCCAAGTGTTGGGATTAAAGACATGCACCACCACTGCCCTGCCTTTGATTTTTTTAAAAAGGTATGCATGTGTCTGCATGAATTTATGTGCAGTGCATGCATGCAGGCACCCATAGTGGACAGAGATCATTGAATACTTTGGATCTGGAGTTACAGTTAGTTATGAGACACCTGAAGGGGTTCTGGGAACTGAATTCAAGTCATTAAGCACTCTTAACTACTGAGCCATCTCTCCACCCTTACATTTGATTGTTTCTTGTTCCCAGAAATTACCACAGGTGTTGACAACATAGTATGGTCTCAAGAGATATTTGCTTATTAAAGGGGAATGAGGTAGCATTATAATAAATTCATTTATTATATAGTCAAATGCTCATCCAGCTATTTGTAACTAGCAATATATATTAAACTGCAGATAATCACAGTTTGGATATGAGTTGAAAATTTGACTTCCATCCATTGGTGCTATTTTGAGAGGTTCTGGAAACTTTGGGAGGTGGGGCTTGAGAGAGGGGGTCACTGCGGGGAGGTCCTTGGGGTTATACTATTATTGGCCCCCTCTTTGTTTTCTGTCTGTTCTTACATGAATAGCTTTCCTCTCCCACGTGCTTCCAGTGACATGGTGCTTTGCTACAGCCTGTGGAAGTAAGTGACGTGGGCTGAACTACATACAATAGTGAGAGAGCCAACCAATCTCCTTCCCTTGAGTAAATTATGTTTTGCTCATAGTGACACAAAAGTAATTCATATAAACAGGTATAAAAGTATAGCCTAAGAAGTTCTGAAGAGCAGGGCACAGTGTCACACACTTCCTCCCACCCCCAACTCTCAGGAGGCAGATGTAGGTAAATCTCTGTGAGCGTGAGGCCAGCCTGGTCTACTTACAGAGTTCCAGGACAGCCAGGGCTACACAGAGAAACCCAGACTCAAAACAAAGAAACATCTCTCTCTCTCTCTCTCTCTCTCTCTCTCTCTCTCTCTCTCTCTCTCTCTGTCTCTCTGTCTCTCTGTCTCTCTGTCTCTCTGTCTCTCTGTCTGTCTGTCTCTCTGTCTCTCTGCTCTCTCTCTCTCTCTCTCTCTGTGTTCTAAAGAGGTTGCAATGTAGTTTTTTCATTCTTCACTTATTGTGGGTTCATCACCCAGTTCCCAAATATTCACCCAGAAACTTATTCTTTCTTATGAATGCCTGGCCTTAGCTTGGCTTGTTTCTAACCAGCTTTTCTTAACTTAAATTATCCAGTCTACCTTTTGTCTCTAGGCTTTTATCTTTCTCTATTCTGTATACCTTTCTTTCTTTCTTTCCTTCTTTCTTTTTTTCAAGACAGGGTTTCTCTGTATTGCTTTGGAAGTTGTCCTAGAACTTTCTCTGTACACCAGGATGGCCTCAAACTCACAGAGATCTGCCTCCCTCTGCCTCCTGAGTGCTGGGATTAAAGGCGCGCGCCACCAATGCCTGACCCCTTCTTTCTTTCTTACTCCATGACTTGCTGTGTAGCTGGTGGCTGTCTCCCAATGTCCTACTCTCCTCCTTTTCTCAAGCTCCTTGATCTCCTCTTGCCAGATTTTCCTTATTCTCTTTGCCTGTTAACTTTGCCTATTCTTTTTCCTGCCTAGCTATTCAGCTCTTTATTAGACCAATCAAGTGTTTTATCAGGCAAAGTAACACAGCTTCACAGAGTTAAGCAGATGCAACATAAAAGATGCAACACATCTCATCATTAAACAAATATAAATGAATGTAACACAACTTAAAATAATATTCCACAATATTACAGTGATGAAAATTAGGTAATATTTGGTCACAAAGAACTCATGGTTTATAAGAAACAGTTAAGTAACTCAAATGCAATATACAAATACAGAGTATAAGAATAACAGTAAGCTACCATCAAAGAAACTTCCTCCTGCAGGAGACGAGAACAAATGGAAAGACCCACAGCTAGACATTATGCAGAGAGTGAGACCTTGGAACATTCAACCCTGAACAAGATGTCTTCTTCAAATCCCTCAGGGCTCAGGGACTCTGCAGAGAGGAGGCAGAAAGGGTGTAGGAGCCGGAAGGAATGAAGGAAACAAGGGTGTTGAAGTCAACATGATCCACACACATATAAACTCATAGAGACTGAAGCAGTATGCACAGGGTCTGTGTGAGTCTGCACCAGATGTGGTCCTATAGCTGAACAGAGATGTAGACACATGCCTCCATCCCTAACCCAGAAACTATCTCCAATTGGTAGCCAATTGCAAAGAAAGTCTAGTTTCCTCCATGGGAGTCTTACTGGGGAAACAAACTACTCTTAAGGGCAGGTTGTATGCCCAGCAGTAGATGACAAACAGAAAATGAACTCAGCTGCATCTTTGGAGGTTCTTTGTTTCATGATGTTGTGCCAAGGTTCTTTTCTTTAAAATTTTTTATTTTATTTTTATATTATTTATATATGTCTTTTCTTCTCTCTTTTTACTCTACGGATCCTTTGTGTATATATTATGGCTTCCGGTTTAGTGTTTTTATGGGATTCCTGAGGGTGCAAACTAGTGGGTCTCTATTTCTTGAGCCTTCTCTTGGACTCTTTTCATGCTGTTTGTTTTGTCCAATTCCAATGTGGTAGTTTTTGTTTTATATTACAATATTTCATTACTATTGCACAGAAGTCTATTATTACATTCTGATGAGAGACAGAAAGTGGATGGATCTGGATGGGAGGTGAAAGAGAGAAGCTGGGAGGAGTAGAGGGAGGGGAAAACATGCTCAGGATATATGGTATGCTTACAGCATCTGAAGAACATGTGTGAAGAGACCTCTCTTCAGATGAAGATTGGGATTCTGGACTTGAGCCTGTGTGAAGCAGACCTGAAGTTTATTGTGAAGAGATTTTTTTCAAATAGATTTAAACACAAGTTAATAGAGGGAGAGGCTCTTGAGGAGAGAACAAGATAAGCCCAAACACATGTGGAATTCCCAAAGGTGAGCTGTGTTTATCTACAGCTAAATGTGTTATTTTGAAGGCCCTTGAATTTTGTTTCAGAAAGGGGCTAAGAAATGTTTTCCTTCTTTTTTGATGTTTTAGTTTTATTTCCATTTCTGTGATAAAACACCCTGATGATAAGGGTTTATTCATCTTACAATTTATTACCCATCACTTCGAGGTAGTCAAGGAAACTTAAAGCAACGAATACATTCATTGAATCTACAGTTAAGATCATGCATTATAGTGTTAGCTCACTTTCACCTTTTTTAATATAGTCTAAGACCCAAACTAGCAAAGGGTGCCACAGTGGGCTCAATAGTCCCAAGTCAATTAACCAATGGAGAACTCCTTCCCCACAGACATGCCCACAAGCCAACCTGATCTAGATAATTTCTCATTGAGAGTCTTACATGATTCTAGTCTGTGTCAAGTTGACAAATAAATTTAGCCCTTGTGTTTGTTTCTGTGTAATCAAGCACATATCCTCTGCACTTGGGGACAACCAAGCTTGTTTATAGAAGTGAAGGTACACATGGTTTGTTATCTGAAAAGAACAACAGCCCCAGAATTCCAGGAAGATACCTGTCCTTGTGCAAATGGGGCTTACAATTTAAAGGTTTTTTTGTTGGTTTGTTTAATAGATCTCTTAAACACAGTAATTTAAACTTAAAACTTAATGTTAGCCATCACAAAATAAATAAGCTACACAAGGAAGAAACTACAAGCCACTATATTATGCCCATGGTAAATTTATCTCCAACTCAATGTATAATACAAATTTTGGTAATTCTAAGGGCACCTGTCAAGGAGGCAGGAGCACCTCTCAGAGATTGCAGTAGAAGGAAGTCTGAAGTGGAGACAGGCAGTACTTGGTATAGTTTGTTTTTTGAATGTGCCCAAAGTTCATGTGTTGGAGTTGTGGGCCTGTGTTACTTTCAGGAGATAGTGGAACCTTAATGAGGTCCCATCTAATGGGAGGGAATCAGGAAAGGAGGGGTTTGTCTTTGAAAGGAAATTGGGGTCCTGACTCATGCTTTATCACCCTTTGCTTCCCAGTTGTCATGATGTGAGAACTTTCCTGTCACATATCCTTGCTTTCATGTACTACCTCATTACGGTCATAAAAACCAAATAGCCATGATGGGGGATGTCATTTTGTATGCTGTGATTATGTTTCTCTTATTGGTTGATGAATAAAGTTGTTTTGGCCAGCTTTCTCTGCTTCCCTGGCCTAGAGAGCAGGCATGGTCTCGACATGCAGAACGACGCCGGTGAGTTCATGGTCCTCAACGTGCCGTGGAAATGCTCCGTGAACAACCATGCATCCATCCAGATGGATGTGGCCGAGGTTGACAGGTGCACAGGCCAGTTTAATGGTCAGTATAAAACCTATGCTATCTGTGGGACCATTCACAGGATGGGTGAGTCAGATGATTCTATTCTCCGACTGGCTAAGGCTGATGGAATTGTCTTAAAGAACTTTTGACCAGAAGAGATGGGGGAATATTTGTCATAAATAAAAGTGAGAAAATACAAAAGAAAAAAAAGTTGTTTTGGCCAATGGGCAGGCAGGATTTTGCCAGGTGGGAAATCCAAACAAGGATAGAGAATGGTAGTAGGTGGAGTCAAGGAGAACATCATGTAGTTACCAAAGAAGCAATTGATCCCAGGGATCACCAATAAGGCAAACACCCGTAGAGATAGACAGATTAATAGAAACGGGTTAATAATTAAGAGAGAGCTAGTTAATAAGAAGCCCAAGCCATGAAGCCTCTGTGTGTTTATTTGTGACTAAAAGCTCTGTGACTGGGTGGGACAGAAACTTCAGTCTATATAGCCAAGAGACCAGGGATTGAAACCTTTGGAAGCAGGGGTCATAAGCTTTGCTTTGTAAATTTGCTTAGCTCTGGTATTTCTGTCACAGTGATGGAAAGTTGATCAAACACACATCTAATTTAATATTAATTTGATTTTCCAAATACAGCTGATCAGTTCATTAATAAAAAATGAAATTTCAATATGAGTGAAAAATAATCTTTTGTCGAAGATCTAGACAATATTTTTCCTTTAGCAGATATTTTGGGCTAACTAAATTGATTTCAACCAAATAATTCATTAACACACAGTATTTGGATGCCAGTTGGAAATCAGTTACCAGAAAGGACATAGGGTTATGCTCTTTACCTTAATCTGAGTTTTTGATTTGTCAGCAAAATAGCTGTTTTGGCCCATGAGTAGCTTTCTAGGTACTGAAGTGAGTGTTTCATGTAGACTCAAGGAAGCTGAGATTTCAGGAAACATTTCTATCTGAATATTGAGAGACCCTAGAACTAGTAAGTCCTTGTGAGCTACAGCACAGTGGAGTGAGTGTGGTAGACAATTGGATAACCTCCTTTGTGAATAAGGAGGTACTCAAGAATAAGGAGACAGAAATGCTAATTACTCTCTGATCATATTACTACTCATTGTATGTAGGTATTGAAATGTTATACCTTACTTCATAAGTAAATCATTGTTGCATACTAATCAAAAATGTCTCAGAGATTTAAGGAGACAGAAATGGTAACTAACCACCTTGATTGACCATTATGCACCATATCAACATACGACTGGAAAACCATGAATACATGTCATTAAAATAGTAATGGTGAATAAGATGAAATAAAATAAGCCATCTTTGTTTTTGCTGAAGCTGAATGCTTAGAATACAGAGGAGGTTAGTACAGCATGAACACTGAATTGGCCTCTGGTTATGCGGTTGTGATTTTAAAGGCTGTAATTTTTCACTTTTGTCTTTGAGGGAAAACTCCCCTACATCAGATCCTTTCTTAGTGTCACAGTTCAGATTCCCAGGCTTTCCACCAGATGACACATAGGCACCAGGCCCAGGCTGTCTGTGAGAAGCTAAGGGAGGTTGCCCACCTCCATGGGAACTTTCATTTTGCCCAGGACATGTGGCAGCCACAATATGAAACTTTCACTCTTGGCAGTGGTGGAGAAGTTTCCCTTTGGATCCAAGGTGGAGCTGAGCTCCTGGCATGGCGTGGCACCACAGCGTGGCTGCTGCCAAGTTCCCTGTAGCAATCAGCGGGGAAAGCAGCCGCCACACTGGCTTTGCTTTCCACCAGGCCAAGTCTATTGTGAGTTAGGTGCTGTTTTTCTGAAACCTTAGCCTGAAGTCTGATTTACCGACCTTCCCAGCAATTCTGAGAATTTTGAGTAAAGTCCTTTTTCCTTTATGACTCAGTCATCATCTGCTTTATGTAACAACTCAGATCCCTGCCTTACATTCCTTGTGAGGTGGGGTGATCAGGAGCACGTCCAGACGACATTTGTAAGCAGATGCCTTTGCCTTTGGGCTACTTCGTGTCTTCCTTTCCCGCTGAAGTACAGAGAAAGTACAACATCATTTAAGTGACCTGGGATTGGGCTGACCCCTTAGATTCAGGTTACTATTCTAGGAAGAGAGTGTGGTTATTAGGCAAAATTCAGTGAAAGGCTGTATTAGTCTACCAAAGCTGTTATAACAAAACGTTGCAGGCTGCATGGCTTAACTAACAGAAATTTACTTATCCAAAGTTTGGGGACTAAGAGTTTAAACTAGAATGTCAGCTGGTTTGATTACTTCTGAAGGTGCTTCCCCATTCGTTTGTAAATGACTTTGAGTCTCTGACAACCCCCTCTGCAGGCAACTCCTGGTATGTCTTAGCAGTGATGAAATTCCCCTTTTAAATAACAAGATACAAATGGATTGGGAGCCAATTTAAGAACATTATTTCAGAACTGCAGTGTAGTACTTGCCTTTAATCCCAGAATTTGAGAGACAATTGAATCTCTGAGTTTGAGACCAGCCTGGTCTTCATAGCAAGTCCCAGGCCAGCCAGGACTATACAGAGAAACCCTGATGAATAACAGTCTGCCACAAAGACCTTGGACTTTTTTATTTGGTTGACAAAATGCTTTTGCTTAGATTGACCAAAGTAAAGGAATTCATCAAACTTCTGACATTTGTAAGTTGTAAAATATTTACACAAAGATATTGTGGCTTTATTCATACTTGTTCCAAACTAGGAACACTCAGCTATCTCTTTAAAGGTGAATAGATAAATAAATTATGTTGCCTCTATTCTGTGGCTATGAACTATGCCAGAAACATAGATGGACATATCTGTATCTTTCCACAATGTCAGAATTTATTTATTAACAATAAATTCTCAAGGTATATTGGTTTCATTGCCTGAAATTTGTCTTCATTTCCCTTAATGGCCTTTGGCAAGTATGGATGCTTTTATTGCTAATATGAACTCTAGATCATGCATCAACAATAGTTATATCTACATGTCAGTGTATATATGTAAGTTACAGAGTGGTTCCAAACAGGTTAGAATTCAAGGAGTCCAAACACTTCCAGGAGGCCTTAGTGGAGTCAGAGCTGAAAAGACTTGAGGAATGCTGCAGTGGAATCATCCTTCTGTACACTGTGTGAATATATGTCAATATGACTGGTTTAATAAACAAGCTGATTGACCAGTATCTGAACAGGATAAAGTTAGACAGGAAAGCCAAACTGAGAATGATGGGATGAGGAAGGGTGGAGTCAGAGTCGCCAGTCAGATAAAGAATGAGTTGGACACTCAAAATGGGATAGAGGTAAAAGCCATAAGCCTCAAAGGGCAGTGGTGGTGCACGCCTTTAATTCCAGCACTCGGGAGGCAGTGGCAGGCAGATCTCTGTGAGTTGAAGACCAGCCTGGTCTAGTTCCAAGACAGCCTCCAAAGCCACAGAGAGACCCTGCCTCGAACTCCTCCCCCACAAAAAACAAAGCCATGAGCTTCGGCGTAGCACACAGATGAATAAAAATGGGTTAAGTTGTAAGAGCTAGTTAGTAATAAGCCTGAGCTATTGGCAGAGCACTTATAATTTATATTAAGTTTCCCAGTCAGTTATTTAGTAAGTGGCTGTCAGTTATTTGGGAGCAGGTTGTTGGGACAGGAAAATGCTACAGAATACCACTGCAAGTGGTTAGACAGCTACTAAGGAACCTTGTTGGGGAGATGTGGGGACCCCTGGCATAGTATGCCTCTATTATTCATTGGGCAAATTCTTTCATGTGGCAAAATATTCTAAGTGCATACTTTTCTGCTCCAGATGTGGTGTGGCCATGTTTTAAATTTGAATGAATAAAAACTTTAATTATGCTTTGAAGTCAGTATAAGAAAAGTTTAAGCTTTAACTTTTTAAAACTACCTTTGAGGCTTATGATATGATTCAGTTGCAAATACCATTTAAACATAAGGAACTGAGTTTCATTCCTAGAAACCAATTTTTAGAAAGCTGAGTGATTTTTCTGGGTGTGGTAGTGCAGCCTCAGGAGGTAGAGGCAAGTAGAACTCTGACTTGGAGGTGGCCTGGTCTAAAGAATGAGTCCAGGACAGCCAAGACTATACATAGAAGCTTTGTCTAGAAAAACCAAAAACTAAAAACGAAACAAAACAACAGCAAAAACAACAAATCTCTAAGTGTGGTGCCTGCTTGATATCTCAGAGCAGGAGGAGTGGAGACTGTGGATTTTTTAGACTCTCTGGCTAGCCAGCTTAGTCTCCTTCATGTGGTTCAGGTCAGTGAGAGGCCTTGTCTCAAGAAAGAAAGTTGACGGAACCAGGAATGATACCCAAGTGTGTCCTCTGGTCTACACATGCACAAGCACACATCTGTACATACATGTGCATACACACTTGCACCCTCACACACATGGTTGTACACACACTATTTTATTTATTGGACATAAGATAGCCATTACATGCGGCTGTTGACATTTGCTATATTCTACTTGGCTGATCATTTCTAAATGTACTTCATTTTCTCTGATTAGTAGAAGAGATTTATGTTAATAGTTTTATCCATCTAAAATTTACAATTTTACTTAATTAGTGTTCTAAGATTAAAATCAACTCCCTCATTCACAAAGCTTCATATAACACAGAGTTGAACCGTAAAATTCAAACATGACACTTTATAATTTCGTGAGAACGTAATACATTTTAATTTTCCATCGGGAATTTATTCTGGATTTATCTAGAAATTTGAGTTAGGCCTTGATCATTACCGGGGACACTTCTTCAACATGTCAATTTCTGAGTGTTTGCAGTGTTTCAGACCTTTTGCCACATCTAGAAGAGATAATTGCCTGTGGAGTGCTCAGCCTCATGTGGGATCCCTATATCACACCTGTCACCCACACGACTTAGAGAAGATTAAGGAACAGGGAACAGAAAGTTTACAAGAGCCAGGAGTTGGGACGACCCAGGTTAAAGCGAGACAATGCCTTCATGAACTCCCTGCAACTGTGGTTGCCTGAACAATGTGAAGCCAGTTACCAACAGTAGCTCTGGAGCTCTTGGAAGTTGATGGCCGCTAGTAGAAAGGAAGTTACTTTTCTTTAGGGATATGATACCTGAAGATTGGACGTATTCCAGTGAATGACCTTAAACCATTTGTATTTGGAAAGCACAAATTGGACTTAGTGGGATATTAAAAAAATGAAAGATATAAAATTGGAAAGGAAAAGAAGGTGGATCTGGGAGGAGTGGGGTGAGAATATGATTAAAATATAGTATCCATGTATGTAATTCTCAAAGAATTAAAAGCATTCTACTCAAAGTGTAGGAGGTGGGCTAGAAGGATGGCTCAGTAATTAAAA